AGATCGCCTCATCTTTCTCCCGCGGAACCGCTGGTAGTTTTGAACTGCTGACCTTGCGGTTCACAGCCCAATTCGTAACCACTACGCTACCAGAGGTATAGTAGAGAGGATAAACAATTAAACTAGCCACCTCAATACAGTCAGCCACAGGTCACTTGACCCAGTCTAACAGTTTCAGGGAATCAGTGACATTTAAGTTGAGAATTAAAGCGTGAGTAGACGTTTGCCAAGGTGGTGGTGAGAAGGTGGAAAAACAATTCTTTTAAAGGCAATCAGAACCCTGAGGGTGTTTAATGAACATATTTGCATCGTTGAAAGGTCATTGTAGATGCCTGAGAAGAATGGACAGAATCAATTAGGAGACTGGGAGACTGTTTAGTAATCCCAGCATGATAGACATGAGTGTTGTAGACTGGGATGGAGCAATGGGGTACAGGGACATGGATATTTGAAAGAAGCCTTGTATTTAGGTACGACTGACAAAGAGTCCTGATTTGGCGTGGTGGGTTAATGTACCAGACTGCAAAGTCATTTGAACTGCAAGGTTGGTGGTTCAAGCTCACCAGCTGCTCCTAGGAAACCCTATCCGGGGTCGCTAAAAACAACAACAACAACAAGGATTTGGGAGTCCTGGTGTGGCACTGCAAGATAATGCACTGGACCAAAAGATCTGCTTGAACCCCAAGGTCGGCAATCCACCAGCTGCTCCTCAGAAACCATATACAGGGTCACTACAACTCGATGACATGACACTAACAACAACAACAAGGAATTGGTGATTGATGGTGGAAGGTGCTGGACTGGAGGGATTAGGCTGATTCCCACTTGTCTGACACGTGTTTGATTGTTTAATTTACAAAAGCTTCAGTGAACCCATAGAAGTCTTTGAGTTCTGAACTCCTAACTTGTGGAAATATTCCTGTAAACAGGAAGACAGGACTTCTCAATCACTTTGCAAATCATCTCTCCATCCTGCTGGACATATCTACAGATTGTTGCTGGCCTAGAAATTGGCAGGGCTTACTGTTCCAAAGTAGGACGGTTCTTGGCAAGCAAGAGAAAACTGGAAACAGAATGGAAACTGGGCCAGTCAGGCACCTTACATGAAAAAAAAAAAAAGGGAAACCTGGTACTTTCCCATCTGATATAAAGTATCTGGTCAGAAAATAATTTAAAAGTACAGATAATTCAAAGATGTTTATATTTGGTTTTGAAATGCCAAATACCATGCATATTTGGCAGTAGTTTTACCTTGCATTAAATGTTTTCTTAGGCCTTATTTTATTTTGCATTCCCTGAACACAGACCATCTGGGAAGCTGGCGCCCAAGAGGGAGTCTGGGTGGGTGGCTGGGGAGGTCCTAATGTTTAGAGATTGGACTGAGACCACAATTCTCCCTGCCAGCGCCGTTGTTCAGCCCTCTCTGTCTACCTGTGTCCTGCCACAGACTAGAGAGCTTTTTCTGACCTAAGTCTTGCCAGGTCACATGGTGATTTGAAAAGCAGCTATCTAGTTCCCAGCATATAGCATACTACCCTCCTCTCTGAATACTCCACAGGGCCACCTCCACCTGAAAGGGTGCCAGCAGATGCAGGGCTCAGTAACAACCTCAAAATCAAACCATATTTGGAGTACCAGGCAGGGCATTTACAGATGTTACCATAAAAGATATTTTAAGTCATAATGGGGCCTGGCCAGACCAAAAGGCCTCTTCTCCTGTTATTCATAAGATCGCAGCTTCCAGACAAGTTAAAAGCTCAGTTTATCTTCTATGGCTCAGATTCATCTAAAAGAGTTTTGTGTCTCATTGAAGTCCTTTAAACAAAGGGTCTCCACACCAAGTCCTGATCAGGGCCTAAAAGAAGTATCTGGTGGAAGTCACTCCCTACTAAAGAATCCTAAGCACTCCCCTGTCCAAGCCAGGATAGTGGCCTCGTCCCCAAACTAGAGAATTCACTCGAAATAATTAATAACAGAACCAAATCTGGAAGTTCAGGGAAACTGGTTGGTGCCAATCAATCATTTGTCAAATTAAGTGCTGTTTTTCATTCACTACAGAAAAGAGAGCACTTCCTAGTTTCCCTCTACCTACAGCGCAGAACTAATCAACGGAATTGTTTTTAAGACTTGTAAGGTGCTCTGTGACCCACGTGTTTTCCCTCCTTAAACGTCTCCTTGATTTGAGGTGGTGGAAGTAGTCTTTTGATGCTTATCTCAAACTTTTAGAAAAGTTGTCACCAACCTCCTCCCTCGTCATCAGGCCACTCTCATTCCCATTTCACATTATCCGCCCCCCGCCCCGCCCCCTTCCTATACACACACCTAGCTGAGATCATCCTCAGTACGCCTCTGAGAGAGGAAAGGAAACGTGAGCTAAAGCAACAGGTTCCACCCACAGCCTGAACAACTTGAAGGGGAGAGAGTACAAGGCGAAGGGAGCCGGATGTTGGAGGGAGAGGAAGCGACGAGGAGGGTAGTGGAAGGGAAATGAGGGTGTATGACCACTGAGCGCGTCACTAGGGCTCCTACAAGGCTTTGTGTATGTGTGTTGCAAGGGGGAAGGTTGGTCCTTCATGAAGTCACTAGTGGACTTCCGCATGGGTTCGGCGACGCAGAGCTAGTGCTTTGGGGTGCCTGGGGGGCTTCTCTAGGATAAGAACCCCGAGACGAGGCCAGGAAATTACAAGTGTGTCTGGGGTTAAAACATTATACGTTCCCCAAGGAACCGCCTTGACTAATTGGCTGGGTCCGCACCCCTAGAGTCCTGCTCTCCCTTCTGTCGAGCATTTCCCCAGCCTCTCCAGCCTCATCTACGCCCGGCCTCCCTCCCCAGCTTGCTGTCTCGAAAACCGGGAGAGCGGACTGCACCGCGCCTGGCCGCCTCTGGGCATGCTCGGTGGCGGGACCCGCTTCGCAGCTCAGAGGGCGCATCCTCCTCCCCCAGGGCGGCGGCGCCTGCAGAGAATGCTGCCGCCGCGCCCAACCCGACACACCTTAGGGGACAGACCGAGACCACCCTGTCCGGCGTGGGCGGAGTGGAGGCCTCACCCCGAGCCCCTAGCGAGCTCAGAGGAGAGTCCGGCCTGGGAAGCGGGGGTGAACCCTCAGAGCCGCCTGCGGTTCCTTAGAAAGTAAAGCTTCGCTTCAGCTCCTAGCCGGCCTCCCAGCCGGCGGGGACGGGGCGGGGCCGGGCTGGGGGGTGGTCTCCGCGCCTAGAGAGAGGTGCGAAATTAGTAGCCGCCCACCCAGCTCTGCGTTCCCGCCCCCCGCGAATTACAATTCTCTGTAAAAGTGTTTGGCTCTCAGATTATCCTTGGGGCGGGTGCAGGGGCGCGCCTGGCGCAAAATGGTTAAAACAAAGTCCGCGCGCGCACCGGGGTCCCTCGTATGAAAAGTGTGCACGCTGGTAGCTGGGCACCTCCTTTGCTAATTTGAGGGTTAGTTACCAGGAGGAAGTCTGGTTGGGGGTGGGTGTAATAAGGAAAGCCTCAGGCTGGTGCAGACTCCTACCAGCAGGTCTGGGGGGGGGCGCGCCTGGGCCCCCGTGGACGTGGGGCACTGGGCCTGGGGGTTTGTGGCCGAGGGGTGGGCGGCGGGCGGCCGGAGCTGACTCGGCCCGGCGACTCACTCTCTGCCTCCTCCCCCGCTCAGGATTACCGAGAGGATGGGATGGATCTAGGCAGTGACGCCGGCAGCAGCAGCAGCAGCAGCAGCAGCCGCGCCAGTTCGCAGTCCAACTCCACCAAAGTGACCCCTTGCTCCGAGTGCAAATCCTCGTCGTCGCCGGGAGGCAGCTTGGACTTGGTGTCTGCCCTGGAGGACTATGAGGAGCCCTTCCCAGTCTACCAGAAGAAGGTGATTGATGAGTGGGCGCCGGAGGAAGACGGGGAGGAGGAGGAAGAGGAGGACGAGCGCGACGAACGAGGGTACCGGGATGACCGCTGTCCGGCTCAAGAGCCGGGGGACGTGACTGCCAGGACCGGCAGCGGCGGCGGGGGCAGGAGTGCCACCACCGCCATGCCGCCCCCTATACCTAACGGTAACCTCCACCCGCACGACCCCCAGGATCTCAGGCACAATGGCAACGTGGTGGTGGCCGGCCGGCCGAATGGCCCCCGGGGACCCCGCCGTTCTCTCCAGAAGCCCCAGCTGGTGGGGGGCCGGCGCGGCGGCCGGGGCCCCACGGCAGGAGGGCTAGGCCTCCAACCCCCAGACGGCGGGACGTGTGTCCCGGAGGAGCCTCCGATGCCCCCCATGGACTGGGAGGCACTGGAGAAGCATCTCGCGGGGCTGCAGTTCCGGGAGCAGGAGGTGCGGAACCAGGGCCAGGCGAGGACCAACTCCACCTCTGTAAGTTGGCCGGGGTGCGTGCCCACACGCGCGCGCGCACACACACGCGTACACATCCCTCACACAGCCCTCCCGCCCCCTCCACTCTCTCCCGCCCGCCGGCGGCCCCATTCAGACTTTCCGGAGGGTGGGGGCCGGGCTGGAGAGGCCGCGTTCTGCTCCCCTAGGGTACACTTGCTCTGTCTGTGAGCTGTTGGTTACAGGATGGGTGGAGATGTGGGAGGGGCAGCTAGAGGGCAGCGGAAAGTCGCGTTAGTGGAACCGGCGACTCATTTTGATGGAATTACTTAAGGAGACAAGGTTGTGAGTCACTTGCCTGAAAATAAATCCTGGGAGATTTGGGCACAGAAGTCAGTGCCTGCGGATATTTCAAATCTCAATAGTTGTGGCGTTGTCAAACGTAGTGGGACTCCCTTCCCTGCCACTGATGTCTAGACCATATATAGACTGTGCCAGTGCACACGCACGCATTCGTCTGCCCACTCTGCCGGGCTGGCTGCAGGGTTTGTTCCCCCTCGCGTTTAAAACAAATGTGTCTGTATTTGGATGGGTTGAGATTTTTCCTCTCACGAGAATCAGAGCTATTGTTGACCTGGGGAAAGGGAGTGAATTGTCCAGCCTGTATGAGGGAGGGGCTCTGGCCCCTGATGCCTGATTCTCTCCGTGGATCCCTCTTTATTTTGAGAATGGAGCCACTTACATAGGCATCTCAGAAGGGAAGGGGTGCTGGAGTGGAAAAAGGGAGGGAGGGAAGGAGGGCTGTATCTATAATAGGAAGCTCTGGCAGGTTAGCACTTGTCTCAACATCTTTTTTGCCCCTGAGATAAGAGTAGATGAATGACTTAAAAGAAAAGCATCATGAATGTAGCTCTCCTATTTATCACTGTTTTGAGATAAAGCAACAGTTGTCATTTGAAATCATTAATGGTGTTCCTAAATTGGCTGAAGGGCACAGTTTAAATGAGCTGCTCTCTGTATGGCAGCTGTGTGGCAGTGTGGGAAAATGCTTGTATTGCAGGTGCAATTTTTCGACTCCTGGCCCGCGGGGCTACTGGAAATTGGGTGCATGCACTTCTGACTTCAAGGGTGAGAATGCTAACTGCGTTTCACAGAGAAATTGGTATGGTTTCTATCAGAGAACCGGTGGCTGACCGAGCCACTGCTTAGCATCCCTTGAGAAACTACCTATTAAATTAACACACTCATTTCAATCCTAGACTTTTAGTTTACCATGGAATCTTTCCATTACAATCAGTACTATCTCTTATACTTTATAAGATAATCCATCCTTTTCCTATTTCATGCTTGATACAGAAAAATGCCTCATTAAGATCCCTGGACTTGATTTGAAGATAAGCAAGAGTTTCATTTATTGTTGCATGACATTTATACGTTCCAGAAAAAATGTACTGAGTATTTTAAAATACTGTTATATATGAGGAGGTTTCAAAAGATTCGTGGAAAAATTCCATTTTATTTTCATTCCATTTTTTCCCCCATGAGCTTTTTGAAGTCCTCTCATACATGTAGAGTTAAAGTTTGATGGTGGCACTGAGCTCTATTTTTCAAATTAGTAAGCAAATTGTATTGTGCACCCATGTGTTAAGTGTTGTATACAGACTGCCTCCCTCCTGCCTAGGAACTTAAAATGTAATGGCTTACCTAGCAATCCTTCATCCTTCCCACCCCAGCCCAGCCATACAAAAGTTCTATTTATGGTCAACACTAGGTTTTGGTTTTTTTCCCTCCTTTTAATGTTTAGAATAATTTGAAATAAAATGAAAGAACGTCTAAATTCTTAAAATAAGGGTCTTCTAGCCATGAATTCCTTTTTGCGTTAACTTGGTTGTTGTTGTTAAGTGCTGTCAAGTCAGTTTTGACCCATAGCGACCCTGTATATAGGGTTTCCAAGGAGCTTCTGCTGAGCTTGAACCGCCAACCTTGCAGTTCAAACAGCTTTGCAGTCTGGTGCATTAACCCACAATGCCACACCAGGACAAAAGTAAACAGGGCAATACTTAAAACCCCATATCTTTTGAGTTGCTTTTCATGCATAGGATTTTGTTTTAGTGGATTAACATTGTGTTAGAACACAGGCCTCCTCATTCCTTCTCAGGTACTCCTCTCCTCAGTGCAGGGACATACGCAAAAGGAAATACTGTGACTTCAACAATGTGTTGATAATCTGCTGTCCCTAATCCAGGGATCATCTAGAGGCAAAATTTAAAAATACAAAGCATTTAAGTGGGATTTAAAACGTAGTTTTGAACAGTTTACCTCTCCCTTGGTCCCAGCATAAGAGTGATAAACTTGGATGTTGCCAGAACAGCCTTTAGTGTCTGAGTAGTTGTTGTTAAGTGCCACTGAGTTGGTTCTAACCCATAGTGACCCTTTTAAGGTTTCCGAGGAGCAGCTGGTGAGCTTGAACTGCCAACCTTGAGGATCAAACTGACTTTGCAGTCTAGCGCATTAACCCACAGCACCACATTAGGACTCAGTCTGAGTAGTTGTTGTTGTTAAGTGCCGTTGAGTCAGTTCCAACCCATAGCAACCCTGTATAGGGTTTCTGAGATGCTGCTGGTGAGCTTGAACCGCCAACCTTGTGGTTTGAATGGCTTTGCAGTCTGGTGCATTAACCCACAGCGCCATACCAGGACTCTAGTCTGAGTAGTAGAGTGCCTAAAGAGTCCTAGAAGAAACACTCTGGTGACCTAAATCCCCGCATTCTTCTCACTCATAGATGTCCCATCCCCCCACCTTGGTGTCACAGTTTCAGGACAGCAAGTATTTTATTCCAGAACCATACTCCCAGCAGCTAGCTTGTGCTTCACACAAATGCTTGACACACTTGGGAAGCATGAGGTGTTAACCCAACAACCATACTTACTCCCAGAAGTGCCTCCTCCACTTGGCCAGCCTCTTCTGATGTGGTATCAGTGTATTATTCCTCACAGCTTGCCCTTGGCCCACATTACCTCATATCTGTGAGTGTTCTAGGTAAACTCAAGAGCCAGACACAGTTTAGGAGTAAAGAATGATTATGGGTATTGAAGCTTTTGCTTTAGAATGGAGGTTGTGAGTTAAGCAATGTTCACCCCAAATTCTTATCACCCTGACAACTCAGACTCTGCTGAACTGGATGATCAATCTTGAGGGAAACCCGGAGCATCTTCTTGTCTCTTCAATTTTCGCTCTTTTCAGAGCAAGCCCTAAGAAATTGGTTTGCTTTCTTTGGGACTTTGAAGCTTCATTGTATCACTCTTTCTCCTCCTCAATACTTCACCAGTTAGGGTGTGGGTGTCTACTACCTCAGTGTATTCTTCCAAATGGGATATAAATATAATTCCAACTGTTTCTAAATGATTTTTCCATGGAGTTCCTCCCTTTGGGGCCTCTGCTCCAGGTTTAGCCTGTTCTGTCTCTGGAATCTTATCACCCTTTTCTTATTCCACCTCTTCTTACTTTTAATTTTTTAAATTAACACTGCCTTATTGAGGTATAATTGACATACAGTAGCATGCACATATTTAAAGGATACAATATGACTTTTGACTTATATATTATACACAGGTAAAACCATTGCTATGGCAAAATAATGAATATATCCATCAGCCCCAAAGTTTCCTGTGTCCTCTATAACCTCCCTATCTAATCCCTCAACACTCACTGATCAAATTTCTGTCACTATAGACTAACTTGTATTTCCTAAGATTAATATAAGTGGAATTATATAAAATACACTCTTTTTCTGTTTTGTTTCACTCTGCATATAATTGTTTTGAGATGCTTTCGGTGTTGCTGTGTGTATTAATGGCCCATTCCTTTTTATTGCTGAGCAGTGGTCCATTGTGGGAATGTGCCACAATTTGTATAGCTATTCACCTGTTGGTGGACATTTAGCTGTGACTAGTTTTTGCTACAACAAATAAAAGTGTTATAAACATTTGCATATATGTTTTTGTATGGAAATACAGTTTGGTTTCTCATTGATGAATGCCTAGGAGTGGAATGGCTCACTTCTGTGGTAAATTTATCTTTACCTTAAGAAACTTTTTTTTAAGACGTACCATTTCCTGTTGCCATCATCATGATGCGTCTCAGTGCACTGATTTAGGACATTTGCTTCCTCTTCTACAAGCACTCTGGCTCATCTGCATGCTTGTAACTTTACAGCATATCTTTCTTTAGATGTCTGGGGTGACTGCCCCCTATCTCTGAAGAAACAACAAGAAAACACCAGGATCTCATGTAACAAGAAAGTCATAGCACCCCATTGTTCAAATACAGGAAAGGAGCCATCTTTTACAGTAGAGAGGAGTTCTCATTATACATACGAATTTTAAGAGCAGCTTTATTTTTTAGTGACAGGTGTATTTTCCTGTGACAGGTGCGTTTTCCTTACTTAAGGAGCAGATCAGGATAATTTTAATTGACACATTATTTGAAAGCAAGAAAACCCTCCTAATGAAGTTTATTTCTGAAGTACTGAAAATAATTTATCTTTTATTTGTTTATGTTATTAACAAGCAGCAAACTTTAAAGGATCTACAGTTAATTCTAGAATGGTACTAATGGCAGATTATTATCAGGGCATTATTTCATAAGAATTGCAGCCCAGTTACTCCTTCCCCATCAATTATTCTACTAAAGTAGCTCCAATGACAAAGTGATTTGTTTCCTTAATTACTTGGACTATGTTTAAATTATGTGAATTCCCTTTTTTTTAGACTATACTAAGAGGTCTATATTCCCACAAAATATAGTAATGTTTATAACTTTAGTGACTCTGAGCCCAGGTACACAGTATTAAAGACAATTCTGTGTGTATGCATTTATCACTATGCGTGCTAGTTAGAGACCACCACAGGATAGTGTTACATTAATTTTTTTTCCAACTATGTAAGAAATTGCCAGGATAAACTGTATTCTGTGTTTTAACCCTTTATAGTGCCACAGTGAAAAGCTCTTTGCTTACTTTTAAATTTTATGTTAGTGTTTGT